TACTGTACATGTTAGCAGCATGTGATACTACTGTACATGTTAGCAGCAGTGATACTACTGTACATGTTAGCACATGTGATACTACTGTACATGTTAGCAGCATGTGATATTACTGTAAATGTTAGCAGCATGTGATACTACTGTACATGTTAGCAGCATATGATACTAATACTACTGTACATGTTAGCAGCATGTGATACTAATACTACTGTAAATGTTAGCAGCATGTGATACTACTGTACATGTTAGCAGCATGTGATACTACTGTACATGTTAGCAGCATGTGATATTACTGTACATGTTAGCAGCATGTGATACTACTGTACATGTTAGCAGCATGTGATATTACTGTAAATGTTAGCAGCATGTGATACTACTGTACATGTTAGCAGCATGTGATATTACTGTACATGTTAGCAGCATGTGATACTACTGTACATGTCAGTAGCATGTGATACTACTGTACATGTTAGCAGCATGTGATACTACTGTACATGTCAGCAGCATGTGATACTACTGTACATGTTAGCAGCATGTGATACTACTGTACATGTTAGCAGCATGTGATACTACTGTACATGTTAGCAGCATGTGATACTACTGTACATGTTAGCAGCATGTGATACTACTGTAAATGTTAGCAGCATGTGATACAACTGTACATGTTAGCAGCATATGATACTAATACTACTGTAAATGTTAGCAGCATGTGATACTACTGTACATGTTAGCAGCATATGATACTAATACTACTGTACATGTTAGCAGCATGTGATACTAATACTACTGTAAATGTTAGCAGCATGTGATACTACTGTACATGTTAGCAGCATATGATACTAATACTACTGTAAATGTTAGCAGCATGTGATACTACTGTACATGTCAGCAGCATGTGATACTACTGTACATGTTAGCAGCATGTGATACTACTGTACATGTTAGCAGCATGTGATACTACTGTACATGTTAGCAGCATGTGATACTACTGTACATGTTATCAGCATATGATACTACTGTACATGTTAGCAGCAGTTGATACTACTGTAAATGTTAGCAGCATGTGATACTACTGTACATGTTAGCAGCATGTGATACTACTGTACATGTTAGCAGAATGTGATACTACTGTACATGTTAGCAGCATGTGATACTACTGTACATGTTAGCAGCAGTTGATACTACTGTACATGTTAGCAGCAGTTGATACTACTGTACACAGTACTGTACTACTGCAGCAGGTTGTATAATATATACATGTGGCTTTCCCTGTGTTTAGAGCTCCTTTAGAGTGGGAAATACAAAGATCACTGTAAATGTAAAAAGGCTAGTCTGCTTGAGTTAGTATTTCTCTAGATAGGGGCATTATGACTGTTTTACATGCTAAAGGAAAATGTCAGATTTAAGCACGGTCATTTACTTTCAAAACTGAAAGAAGAAATATCAATGGTAATCTGAACAATCACACATACGTAGTTATTTCTTAAATATCCTGTAAATTGTGCAGCACCAGTGAAATCATGTCGCAGCTTTGTTATTGTTGAGCTATTAAAATATGTCATTAGAATCAGTACAGCAAATCTACAAGTCCAATGTTTTGTCTATAATGAGATCTACAGGGTATCATGGTTTAAGAGAGCAGACGTATGCTGCAAAAGGGTCGGAGAGATATGCAAACATTTCTCGGCAGCCATAAGCAAAACATCTTGAAAAAACTAATCACCAGGAGAATCGAGGGAAAATATACTTCAACATCCTGGGCAGGTCCAGGGGAAATCTGGCAAAAACCCAAAACAGTGAGAAGAGGGCGAAGAAGGCCTGGCTTTGTGGAGTGTGGACGAGGGAAGAGGGGTTCAAATGGATCCATGCATTCAAGCAACAGTTACATAACGTGTACATTAAAAACTAGGCACCAGATAGAGTACAATCTGCCAAATTACAAATTGGGATAGAGTTGGCACAATGTTCTGTATTTTTGTGTCTTAACTGTTAATTCTCTGATCTGTGTTGCCGATTTCGACGGCTTTGTTAAGTCCTCAGCCACCATTTAATTGAAATGGTGGCTGAGAAGGCAGTAACTTCTAATGACTTAATACATAAAACCCTGAAATCTCATATTCGCAAACATAATTTCATAATCAGGGTTATGGTAAGTAAAGTAATTAAAGACATTTAAGGTTGATTTTTTCACTCTTTTTTCCACAAGGGCTCGATCCTCTCTTTTGCCTCTAGTCCAGTCCTCTCCAGCGACCAAACACAGACGTTTTTCTTCTATTTTTGCCAAAATCACAAAGAACAGGTGTAACGTGCTAATTGACTTGGGCATGTGAGGCAATTATGAAGGCTAACAGAAAAATAGTGATGTAAATCATTTCTTTTCATGCATATTACATTTTGAACTGGTAGAAACAACAATATTGTGACCATTTGATATTGCGTTGAGTGTTTAGTAATTTTGAGTTCAATGTACATCAAACATTCATTATCAAATGTCACAACATAGAACTTTCTAGGAAATCCTTCATTGAAGAAGCTCTTTGGCTCCATGGTCCGAGCTGAAGAGGAACCAGCCTTAGCACCACAGCCCTTGAGCGGCTACTGGCCTCCACTCAAGCAGACCCCCTCCTCCTTTACAAGACCCTTCAGCAGTGGCCTGGTTGCTAGACAATATGCCTGGTTATGTGGGTTATGTAAAGACCCTCCTGCTCACAAAAGCCAGTGCGGCCGGCTGTTATGTGCCCCTCTTCATTGGCCTGAGTCAGTTAGCAGAAGAGCTCTGCCGCTGACACTCCAAGTAAAAAAACGTTTGCTCTTCAGTGTGTTTACCAAGAGCCAGGGGAGAAAAAGAGTCAAGGAGAGATGGACCGTTGAATTATCTCCTGTTTGCTAATTTAACTTTGCCCCATTCACAGAATCCACTTATTGGAGGTTAAAACAACTGCCTTGTTGACATGTAGCTATATTAGAGGTTTAAGGAGAAGTGAGTGTAAGTAACCCAATCTTTATAGGGAAACACTTAAAGCTGCTATTTTGGTACTGAGAGCCTATTTACAGACAGGTAAGGCCAGGTTTCTCGCTGACAAACAGCCACTAAAATATATATAAGACTTAATTATGCTCAAATATAATGCTTCATACAGTATGTGTCCTTTACGTAACATGAAATAAACAAGTTTTGTATGTTATTGTAATCAACCTTATCCCCCAAATATCTATTTTCAGGAAAAACACAGAGAGAATATTGCATGAGGTCAGTATCAGTAGATTGGAATGGTTTACATTTATAATGACAGACTTGCTGTGAAGAAAATGGGCCCAGATAACAAGTTTCAACATTTGGAGATCAACTATAAACTGTTGAGATAGAAAGCTAGATAGACAGATAAATACTGTATCCACCCCCGAAGGGAAAATTCAAGTTCCTTGTAGATAATGGTGGTGACCCGTGTTTTAAGTTTTACTCATCCAGAACTAAATGTTCAGACTTACACGTCAGCAGGTTTGCTTAGTTAAACATTAGTGTCATGACACACTTTCAAACTCTTGGTTCATTACTCAATGCCAAATGGAACTTTATTTAGGGAAAAAATGTTCCCCACAAAATAATACTGCTAATTATCTGTTTTATGATAACGCTGAAGAAAACTTTAAAATGCTTCAAAAAGTCATGTTTATGATTTTGTATTGTATTGATTGATTGAAACCTTTTAGATAATAAATCAGAAAAATATAATAGAGCACTTATTGTGAGATATTTCGAATAACGTGCATTTTCTTATACTGTATCAGCATCTTTCAGAAGCCCATTTGCCAAAAGATAAAACAAGGATAGTGTGTTACGGCAGATGGTTGTGTCATTCTACATCAGTCTTATTGACTATACCTGTCACAATAACAAATGCTAATGAACAATTGTGACAGATACGAAAATATACTTTCCACAATATAGTCCCAGTTAACCTTCTAAAAGTTCTAAACTGACTTCTTTATTCACAAACACAATCTAAAATAAGCTAAAACTGTATCATGTTACAAATACATTAGCAAATATATTTTTCCCACTATATATTTATTTATGAATATATTCTACCCCAAATACAATGTACAACCCATCCATAATCAAACGCTGAGCCTGTAAACAACACCATTTGTATCATGTTTGTTACATATTCGTCTGAACAGAAGGGAGTTGAAGGTTTACATGCAGCCCCTTCAGGCAGTGACACGGCGGTCAGCCACACACCACCGGTGGGTCCGAGGGCCGAGCGCTGTGGACCACACTGCGTTCAGGGCCTGGGCTTAAATGCACCAACTTTGCTTCACACACACGCAGCTGTTGACCTTAGCCAACCACAAACTGTTTCCTAATATACTGCACAGGAGTAAATCCATCATGACAGGTATGGCCGCGCAGACGCCCAAATCTGTGACACCTGTGACGGCTTCACATGGAAACATCAGTCCTACAGGGCACCTTTAAAGATCATCTCATTGGATTAGCAGATTATAAACCAGCAGTACAAATCATTTCAGATCAGTCTTCCTGAAAATGTGAGAGAGGCTTCTACTCTGACAACGTTTAAATCCACGTCAACAGTTCTGTCTGTCTTTTGACTGTGATTATTTGTGATTTTAATACATTTTGTGATTTGAATATTGTTTTTGTCAAGCACTTTGAGTCACTTTGTGTAAGAAATGTGTTATACAAATGTACTTGCTTTGCCAACTTGTAAATCTAAAGCATATAGTTTTCTGAGGGGATCCACTATACTCACATGTTGTGTTAATTCTTTGCTTGGAATGAACCTCTGTATGATATCAAACATGAATCCTTACATTGGGCTAACTCGCCTCTCCACAAATACGCCCTGTAACTTGTCATCAGAGTAGATGAATAATTTCAACATATTGAAACATGGAAAGGCTCCAGGAAAAACAACATACACAGTAGCTACATACTTTTGAACATTGGTGTGGTACTTGGGAGGCAAGCGCAGAGTATGGACGGGTGGGGGTTGCCTGTTCACATAAAGAGCTGGTCCTCTTTGGGGAGGGACAACAGACTGAACAACACACCCCCAGAGGACACAGGTAGATTTGAGGCAAGGATGGGTAATATCAGACCCTCCAGGATTTCAATTATCAACTTATAATCAGTAACTCTGCAAAATAATTCTCATCTGCTTTTTGCCCATCATTGCAACTTTCAAGGAACAAAACACATGAAAATTGAGCAAAAATAGTCAAAACAAACGGGTAGCTTCTCTAGTGTGAGCATTTGTTTAGCTCGCTGTCCACCGCCAACATCCAATTTGATACATAAACATTCTTATCCTTCACTTCCCATCCTTATCGGTCCTATCAACATTGTAGCATGTAACAGTTGACATGTGATTTTCATCCAATGCCTGAGTTTGTCCGACCTTTGGCTCAGCATGGCTCGTTTATAAGAGTATAGAAATGCGGCAACAGCGTCAAACCATTCCGTTTTGTGATTTGGAGAAAAATTCTTGCAAGGACCCAAGCAAAACACAAACCATCAACCAGGGAAGTTCAACCATTCACCTTTTAAATTTTCTTCTTTTATGAGACTCCCATAAGACAACAAGAAAGAGAAATGTCCTCAACTCAACTCGGCTTTCACCAAAAAGCCCAAACATTAAAACCCAAACAACATCTGAAATGAGTTAATACATGCGCAGTAAATGAGATCTCCCCCGTTAAATATTTGTTATTTTACTGCAACTAGATACTGTGTTAAGACTAAACCCCAAACTGTGTATAAGCAACCAAGTTTGAACCAATTGTCTCCCACTAATTGAAATCTTTTGCTTGCTCCAGACTTTCTCCTCCCCCTTCATTGAGATATCTCCTCCATCTCCAAACACGCAGAGAGTCAGACGGATCGGAACTTACTTGAGCGCTGTCATCCAACCAGCGTGCAGTACAATCCCTACATGACAAGTTGCAGCCTGAGAGACAGACAGACCTACATCCATCTGGCCTCGGGCTCGGGACAATCCTACAGGAAGCCCGCAGCGTGAGCGAGCGGGGACACACATGAAGAGGGAGTGGGTGTGGTCTGCAAGGGGGAGAGGGGGGTTGGGGGTGTTTGCTGCTCTCACCACCAACAGAGTGAAGCCTGCAAGAGTCTACAGAGAAGCCGGAGAGAAAGTTGTTCCACTGAGCTTGAGAAATGGAGGAAAACCAGTGCATACCACAGTAAAGTTTTAAGAATAATAATGTTTTAGACTCCCCCGATCTGTAAAAGTGACTGTCTTTGAACCACTGATTGTAGAGCTGGGTACCACTTAATCAATCAGTTGTATCGGTACTGAAATCTGATAAAAGTATTGTTAATAACAAGAATTTGGTGGATCTTGTAAAGAACATTGGGGAAAGTTACCAGATTCTTATGAAAACTAAGTGTTAAAAATCATTAGAAGTATTACGCATTATGATTCTGCCTTAATTAGACATGATAAAGACATATATATGTGGCATCTCCAGCATGCAAAGCCAGATCCTGTAAGACCTCAGAAGCTACGCAGGACAGGGCCTGGTTAGTACTGTGATGGGAGACCACTGGGAACACCAGGAGTCACAGTAACGCGGCTGTAAAGTGGATCCTTAGGCAAGACACTTCTCCCACATTGCCTACGATTGAGTCTGGTGTGTGTTTGAATGGTCGGTGGTGGTCGAAGGGGCCGATGACACAGACTGGTTGCCTCGTTTATCACCACCGTGTACAGAGAGACTGAATAAAGCCACGTGAAGCGATGCATTAGTTCCTTATTTATAGTTTAGCATATTGTTCCCCACTTAACAAGTAAGTGAGATGATGACTTTCTTTTTTTTGTTTTCAAAATAAATTACCTGTTGCAAATACAGATACGTGGTTGTAAGTCAGTTACTTCTCAAACTGTGAAGTTTGGTCAAAATTAATCCTTGAAGCCCCTTGTCATTGGTTTAACTATTCTGCTCCAGCCAATCTATTAAAATATTTAAGTTTATGCCAATAGGAGGGACTGTTTTAAATATATTTTGTTGAAAACTACTTACTGTGGATGATAGTACAGTGTCCCATTGTCAGAAATATACAATATTTTAAGTTGCTAAAATCACCTTTAAATGAGCAAAACACTATAATACAATCTTTCATTCCCTGTGTAGCTTTTTCAAAACAATTGAATCCAAAACCGCAGGTGCAGAACATCGGCGTCCCTCCTCCCTGCCCCGAGATCCACACACCACCGAACATTTCCTCTGTCGCCCAATATTTCTAATGTGCCTGTTTTCTGTACAGCTGGAACATTTTTGTGTGAGGAGCGACTAAAAGCATAGGAGTTACAGTCACTTATAAAAGCCAACAAAAGCCCCACTCTGGATCATCTAAAGTGCACACACTAAACATTTACAATTGAGCTGGACAGTAACAGACCTCACATTGAAATCACATCATCCACCTGTATTTTTGTCAGCCATTCCTCTACAGTCTCCCCCCTTATCTCGTAAAAATAGGAAATCATAGATAACCTATAGTAAACAGAAACAAACCTCAAGATATGTAAATCTTACTGCAAATCGTAAAGCAATAACAGTCTCATCATCCTCCTCTTCCTCCTTCTCCTTCTCATTTGTATTGACCTTTGTAGCATTAAAAACATCTTCAACAAGTTTCAAATTTCACGTGATCAAACCAGTCTCATTAAAGGTCATATTTAAAGCACAATGAAGGACCAGGAGGTATTCTGACTCCCGCCTCCAGCCGCAGAGAAAGTGGAGAATCTGCGAGTCCCAACCTGCTGCTCATCAGATTAACACAAAGCATTCTGGGAGCTTGTTACTGACTGTTAAAATGATGTTATCAGTTTGAAGAAGGGATAATCCGGCTCCGTGATGAAGTGTATCACAGGTCATATATCCTGTAAATCAGGCGCGTCCAAACCTTTTAGTAAGAGGACCATTTTAGTTAACCAGACTAGTCCAGGGGCCGACAGCAAAAGCGTTTTGACAGGATCAGACTGTTCTCAGCATAATTGCATATAAACTGCATATTTCACAGGTGTTTGCTATCTCACCACAGCTACATTAGCATCATATCTGAAATTTTGGTACATTGTGTCAAAAACAAATGCCAGTATATACAGTATATAAAATTACAGCGCAGCCAATATAGTTGTTAGGGTTAGGGCAGATTATTGAGTTATCTGCTGATACCCCCCCAAACAAAGATAATGTACATCCTGTTCGATAATCTAATCCTTTCTTTTAATGTTAGAACAGCCCAAAATGTAAAAAATAGATAGAGCCTTTTTTTTTAACCAAAATAATGTACAGACAGAATGTACAGAAATTGAATTTATGATTGGAGCAACGGATATCATTGCAGCGATATTGAGCCATGATATTAGAATAATGATCTCAAACATGCGTCACTCCCTAAGCACACTTTGGAGTAGGTCAAAGAGAATGGAAAACAATACTCAAACGTATCTTACAGATTCTAGACAACTTTTCAGACAAGCAGGGCTCCAGACTCACATTTTTGTTTGTCTTCTGCGTCAGTTTTAGAGGCACAAGCAGTAGATTTAGTGGAGCATTTTTTTAATGTAAATGATTTTGATTTAAAAAAAAAAAACACTTGCACCAGAGCCAATAACAGCGACAAAATGCAGCCAGGAGCCTCTTTTAATTATTCACTGATGTAAATACTCTTTAAAAATGAGCAGCTGGGGTCTGGGAACGTACCGAGTGCCAGTGTCTTGTCAGAAAGCGAACACACAGAGTCCCACACTGTCCAAAAGAAAAGTGTAGACAGATCTGTTTTGACCTGCCTGTATTCAGTAGAAGACAGCCCAATAAACCGGGTCTAAAGGTCCCAGCATGGTCCCAGTCTGTGCCCCCTGCCACAACACAAGCCCATAGACTTCCACAGTCCTTTCACTGTCCACACCTGTCGGCCCTATACAGTCCTGGCCTCGGAACTGGTGCGAGCAGGTGCATTATTCTGCACTCCTCGCTTTTCATACTATTGCATACCGATGGATCAACAATAAGATTAATCAAGATGAGAAAAAAAAGCTTTAAACGCTTGGATATTTGAAATGTAGAATAGTTGAATCACTAGAAAAGGCATGTCCAAACCAAGGCCCACGAGCCAAATGCGGCCCTCAGAACTATCTTGTTAGTCAAATGTGGAAGAAGCTGATTTGAACATTACCTCATAGGGATGACTTGTGTTTTAATGTTTGGATTTTGTTTGGATAAGAGAAGTGAAGTAAAAGTAAAAAAATATGAATCTAATTGAGAGTAAATGTACAACTTCTTGCATCACCATTCCAATATCCTCCTTAAGCTTAAATTCTAGGCCCAGGTCCAACGCTTTTATCACACGTGCATAATCTGACAAAAAAACACAGCAGCGCTAGCAACATAAAACTCACACACAACATAACATGAGCCGGGAAGGGCCCATGTTGAGTCGCGTTCAGACGAGCAGGGGACCACTCACTGCGTCCGGGGGATTTTTGGGCTTGATGTAACCTCTAAATACAGTTCTGAGTTTACGCGCTAAGCTAGGCGCCTCTAGGTGTGCATTTCTATCGAACGGGTTCGAGATAAATCCATTTGCTAGACTTTTAAGGGGTGCTTATCACTTTTGCACTTGATAAATGAGGCCCTTCTAGTTGTTTTTGCGTAGTTCATACTCTCTTCTCAGGTAAACATAGAAGTCACTACAATTGTATGGGCAGAGAATAGGGACTACCCTGCACACCTAGACCTAGTGTTACTTCCCAAGGGCCCATACATTAATCAGCTCTTCTTGTCTCAGTAGTGCTGGGTTTGTACTTTGGAAAAAATAAGGCCGAAACAGTCAATACGAGTTGTGCTTACACGATTATGGGGAAACCGGACTGTGGCACCTTCATCGACATGCCATGGTTTGCATCAGTTTTGCTTGATTGATTGGAACAGGACAAGGCCAGTTATCCAATTCTCCCACCTCCCATGTACATGCAGAAAGTCTAGAAGCTGATGAGACGGGAAAAGAGTGAATGAGGAAGAGAAACGACCCCAAGTCCTGCAGCAGCTGTCACACAAACGAGTCATCATCAAAGCATTCGTCTCATGCTGAGTCCAGGTCAGTTCTAATCATGGTACACCACACTAGGACCTTATATAATACAATATCAATGAATACATTCAAGTTGCAATCAAACAGGAAATCAATAATGAATTAGAATAAATGCTAGGATAAAAGGCAGTTTATCATTCAGAAAAACCCCAGTTGTAATGACGTTGTCTCTACATTCCTGCCCGCAGCAGCTCAGTCACGGTGTCAAAGGCTTCACACCTGCAGACCTCAGTCACAACATGTCAGGAAGTCCTCTGCACTTGTCCCTGTGTGTGGCCCGCAACACCAACGAACCCCACATTATAACATTAAATTCACATTGAAACATGAATGGAACACAATAATAATAAACCACTTTAAAACCATGTGTGGGTATGCACTCAGTTATAATAACAGTCAACACATTTGCAGATCAGACGTATCAATAAAAAGTAGTAGGCTTAGTAGAAACCAGTGACTTCCTGTTCACACTCTATAGATATTTTATGGAAAAATATATATGAATCACAATTAACTAGCGATCATAATTCCAAGCGTTTATTTACTTACGGTCAAAACCAGCCTGAGGAGAATATCTAGCTAGACATGAGTCTTTGTGGACAGCAAGATTAATCAAACAAATCAGAAACATCATCTCAAATGTTTTCAATTATTTTTTCCCAACTGAAAACAAAAAATCCTTTTGTAGAGAAATTTCAGAGTAAGCCTGAAATAGAATTGCTATAAAGTGGTAAAACATGTAAAAAAGTATTATGCAGATGATGTCATGAACGAGTTTCCAAATTAGTTCATGATTTATTTGGGGAGAAAGTAGGACGATCTCAAGGACATCTGTTACTTTGATTTCACGGCATGAGATTATTATTTTGTATCTCTCTCAATAGATGGATAGATGTAATTTATCAA